ACTTCAAGTTACGCTCTTACCCCATTTTCGGGGAAAGTGCAGAGTAGTTGACATTTTAAACAATTTCCTATCAAAATCAAAATGTACAAGGAAAATTAAGGTCCTAGTTAATATTAATTAAATAGTAGGAATTGTGCAAAGCGTTCGATATCGACAGCGTTAAGTATTTACATAGCAGACTGAAAATACTTACGTTTAAATACTAACTTTACAAAAACTAGTCTGCACTTACCCCACTTCACTTTATATTATAGAATACTTATAGTGTTTTATTACGTGAATAGAATAATTGAATTTGAACCTCGAAACTACAGTATTACCTCTTGACCTACAATATCGAAATTCGTGACGCACGTTAGAGTTCAAATTTGACAAAACTAAATCTTATTTAAATAAAAATCGAGATTTGAGTATGAAACCAATTGCAGTTGGTATAATTAAAGATTGGTAAATGCAAAATATATCTATCATTTCGACATTTTTTATTTATCTTAACATTGCAGTAATAATTAGGCGGCTCTGACTGACGCACAATGAAACTTGTAGGCTGTCGAAGACACCTTATAAATTAAGGGCTGAAATCCTTGTAGGCTAAGGGGTTAAATTATGTTTTTCAAGCTTTAAAAAAAATAGAAAATGCAAAAATATTATTTGGGCACTCTGAGATGTATTTTGAAGGAGTTCTAGAAACATTTTGTATTTTATACTAAATGCAACAATGATCGATGTTTCGATTTGTAATGAGTTTACTTATGAATAATTTTATTAGTTATAAAGTACCATGTTTATCTTCTTTATTAAGATATAATATTTTAAATTTATTATAATTGTATTAATCTTTTATAATTACTAACTTAATACTTACTTCATTACAGCCATTGCATAATCGTAACCAGTTTTATGTTTCTCAGTTTCCCTTAAACCCATCGCGGTTTCTATCAAAATATCAACCGTGACTGCGGATAAATAATCATGACAGTCAAACTCTTTTCCCACTTGATCTCGCAAACGTATAACTAAATCTCTACTGTTCTCATAAAATAACGGAACAAATGTTTTTAGTACGTTCAAATGAAACGTTGGTGCTATGATCTTTCTGTGAGTTCTCCATTTTTCACCTGTACTGATGAGTAGACCATCTCCCAACCATGGTTTGAAATATCTATAAAAGAGAGAATAAAAATCTATACATATATATAAAAATGGAAGTTTGTACGAAATTAATAGACTTCGACACTGTTTGACCAATCACGGTGAAAGTTGGCACACATATGTATTTTTCCATGGAGAAGGTTTTTAGGTATATAAAAAATGGGCGGGGCAAAAAGGGGCGTGGCAAACGAATAAAAATTAAATAATTCGATACATAATAATCATAGACAGACATAATTTGGTGGGTATGTACCTGAGGTGGTTGTCGATAATCCTACAAAAAATGGACTTTAAGTTAGTTCAATTACAGAGCGAAAAAATGGACTTTAAGTTAGTTCAATTACAGAGCGAGTTCTTAATAATAAATGTATATCATCAACTTATACCAACACAAACAATGAAATCTCATCAGTACAAACTATCTTTTATTTTTCAACATCTTTCTACAACGAATTATAGATTCTAGGTTACATACAGATAATCCATTTTTATATAGACGGAGGTCAATAAATGTGCACAGGCAGGGCAACAGGGTTTTGCCAGTAATGTATTGTATGTTTCAGTATATCAATTAAGATATTTTCATATAAATATAATAATATATATTACCTGTATTCATCAGCTTTGTCTATATGAACATGGCTGCTGAGTATAATCTCAATATCGCGAGGATGATACATAAAAATAACTAATTTACTTCCAAGAAAAGCTCGTATTACAGGTCCGTATACATCGTATGTGAGGAGAGTTTCCAAGACCGTATTTGGATGTAAACCGACTGTTGATAATGCATTTCCCAAAATTGGAACTTTTCTTGGTCCTACAGCAACATTTAAAATTTATTGAAAAACAGTGAGGCATTTATACATTGAAAAATTAGAAATTAAAACATTTAGAAGTGTGATCAATCCATAAATTCGCATCAATCCAAATTTGCATACTTTTGAAAAGATTTGAAAAAATAATGCAACGTAAAATATAATACTTCATATTCGTCGTTAAATAGAATTTATACATCTCGCTATGTTACATTAAGTGTTTACGGAAAAATCTGATACAATACGTTGTTACTAAATTTTTTAGCAAACTCGAATAAAATGTAACATCATCGTCGTTCATAATTTATAAACTAGGAGTGTCATATTGTAACCCATAAATGAAATTATACTAAAGATACATTATGAACTAAAAGATACATAATGACAACAGTTTAATTGAATTTACTGTACAATCAAATTAATTATGACTTAATTTAATTTTATATGAAATACAATTTAATTTAGTTCAATTTTAATTAAATTTTATATTAAACTTGATTAAATTAATTACAGTTTTGTAGTAAACACAACTAAATTTAATTGAATTAACTATAACTTAGTTTAACTTTATATTAAAGTCCATAAAATTAATTACAATTTTGTTTAATTTAATTTACTGCGACTGTGATAATTAATAAAAAATCTTGCAAACTACCCCTGTAGACTACCATTTTATTTGCACTGTATACATACCTGGAATTTTATTTCCAAATCTGACAACTCGTAGATTTTCAATATACAAATATACAGCTAACAACGTTGTGGTGATTGCAATGAGAGAATAATACACAGCGGTTTGCCAAAACGTAGTAACTGTTGTAACTGCCGCCATAATCGCGTTTAGGTTTCCAAGTTCATGAGTTTACAGATACCATAAAATTATCGGTAATTTTATATTGAAAAATATCTATACACATCGAACTATGGTCTTGCAAATTCGCGAACGAAAAGAAGCCCTCCTTTTATATACTTGATCATATGTACATAGTAAATTCGTTCATATGTAAATCTTCCTGCTACTGTAAATTAATTATACGATGACGTTATCCTTTCCTGTATATTTGCTTCACAAATTTTCATCATACACTTTTCAGCAAATACAACTTGAATTTTATACGTTAGAAAATACAAGTATGCGTCATAAAGACTCTCAGTGTGCAATAATAAGAATACTCTTTCACATATTACAGAACATCAAGCGAAACAACAAGGTTACTGTTGTAATTTTATCATTGCAATGAGAACTGTTGCGAAAATTACAAATATTATAGTTATTCTACTAGCCTGGATTATGGAGTATTGCAAGGTTATGTCAAAAACTGGAGCACTAATTCTCTTTTATTATAAGTTAAGTTTACTTACAGAATGAGTTATTTTATTGTAACCGGACATTTACAAATTTTTATAAAATCGTACAAGTTTTTGTGCATACGAAATAAGTTACTACCAGCAACAAAACATTTTGTTCCTTTGAGATAGGAATTCAAATATTTTTGCCATTCACAGTTCATAAGAAGGGACATTCTTTTCTGAGCAACGTACGCATTTAAAAAAAGTATCTCATAGTGATTATCTTATCTACGTTTTGTACATCACTTGTCCGTTAATTTTTAAGTAATGATTATCGTAACTGTTTATATAGTAATATTTAACAATATAATTTTGAGCTTGCTTGATAACATAACTATTTAATTATACAGGATGTCCTATGTTTCAGCGGTCAAAAATTGTTAGTATATTCTGTAGGTCGAACTAAGAAAGAAATGTTACATAAACATAGCTCTTCTAAAGCTTGATTAAAAAGTTATTACAGTAATAAGAAATAAGAGCAGTAACAAACTCGTGGTTAATTCGATGCGATGCAGAAAGAGATCAGCAATATTGTTTACTCCGTTTATATAAGCTATGTTTATTATTTAAGTCGACTCGTACCAGTCTCATCGATAAATTCATTTTTTCGTACCGAAATACCACAATTATTTACTAATTCGCAAAGTAATAAATTTTATTCTTTACCGACGTCGGCCTTGTTTTACCAAAAATGATGGACATTTTGCGATCAAGTATTAATTGCTTCTTACACAGAGTATCCGTAAATATTACTGATCTGTTTCTGTATCACATCGTAATAACCGTGACTTTACTACTGTTCCCTTCATTTCGTATTATTGCCATAACTTTTTAATGCATCATTAAAAGATCTAGTTTATATAACATCGTTTCTTATTTCGACACATATATTAACATTTGACTGTTAAATCTTGGTAATTCTATATAATTTTGGGTTTATTTGTAACTCGATAATGTATCCTTTTTTTTCACAGCCTGTTATTGTTTATCTTTTCTAATTTTCTTCAGAAACAGAAGGATATAAAAATGAAGAATAAAGGAATTGTAAATTACTACTTTTTACAAGTACTCTTTCTTTTCCCAGCCAAATACTGTTATTTTAACCTATTCAATCTCACCAATATATTCATATAACCCGTCGTGTAATTGTAACCCGTTTAATATAATTTTCTTGTGTCAATGAAATTTTACAAATCTCTACTTTATATATCAAAATACATCGAATGAATTATTTATTTACTTTCAACAATATTCGATAACAATACTGAAATGTCCACGATATGGAAATTGTAGTATTAATTGACCATCAAAATTCAGCTATTAAATTCTGGATCACTCTACATATACAATTTAATTGATTACGTTATTTTTGTTGAACCTACCACCTACGATCGCCCATAAATGCTACTAAAATGTACTGCAAGGGGTAAACGGGTAAAAAGACGGTTATAACGATCACCGTTCGGTCACCGATGTGGAAACAAGCACTTCCGGAAATGACGTAGCAACCTGCTTCACCCCCTGCGTGGAACGTGCCCGGAAATTGACCCTCGTGGATAATGAAAAAAAAAAGGAAAGACGGTGAAGGTTGAATAGTTAAAGAGAGACGAAGAGAACGAACTTTCCCCTGTCGAGGCTGAGTGCGCGGGACTAATTTCACGAAATTACGAAGTTATCGATGGACGCCAAATTAACCACCTTATTTTACCTTTAATAATGTTACCGTTGCTACGTCAACTTCCTGACCAACTCAATTGTTCATTACCAGTAGACACGCATTGTAGAAAATAATTTTATGATTAGTGAAGTTACTTGCTTTTTTTCATGTTGAATGATGGAGATTCATGAAAGCGTTCGGATTTTTATAAATGCAGAGTTAGTTTTATAATGTTGCGTGAAGAGCTAGTTTTGCTGATGTTGTAATATATGTTTTGAAGACGGTAGTATTTGATTGAATAAGTTTTAAGGAGGAGTTTATGGATAGGAAACGGCAGAATTTGGAAATTTAGAGACTTGGTCAGTTAAACATTTGGAAACTTGAGTATTTGAAAATTTTTATGCAAAAATTTGAAGGGCTGGAAATGTGGAAAGTAGGAAACTTCCAAAATTGAATACTGGGGATTTGAAAATTACGAAGTTTATTTTGGGAATTTAGGAATTTAGGAATTTAGGAATTTAGGAATTTAGGAATTTAGGAATTTAGGAATTCAGGAATTTAGGAATTTAGGAATTTAGGAATTCAGGAATTTAGGAATTTAGGAATTTAGGAATTCAGGAATTTAGGAATTTAGGAATTTAGGAATTCAGGAATTTAGGAATTTAGGAATTTAGGAATTCAGGAATTTAGGAATTTAGGAATTTAGGAATTCAGGAATTTAGGAATTTAGAGAATCTAGGAATTTAGGAATCTAGGAATTTAGGAATTTAGGAATTTAGGAATTCAGCAATTTAGGAATCTAGGAATTTAGCAATTTAGCCATTTAGGAATTCAGCAGTTTAGGAATTGAGGAATTTGCACTTCGACCAAATTCTTCTTCTTCTTAATTGCTCTCGACTTGGATTATGAATGACTTTCCTAATTGATTATTATATTCCCCTTGAAATACTCTATCAGAATATAAGTGAAAAAATAGGCATTCTTAGAAAATTAGAAAATTTAGAGATTTAGGAATTTAGAAATTTGGGACTTCAGAGATTTGGGAATTGAGAAACTTGAGAATTTAGACATGTGGGAATTGAAAAATTCGGGAGTTTAGAGATTTGGAAATTTAGAAATTTGGGACTTCAGATATTCGGAAATTGAAAAATTGTAAAACTGAAAAATTTAGAAACTTAGAAATGTAGAAATTTAGAAATTTCGGAATTATTTAGAAATTCGAGAACTTGAAAATTTAAGCATTTAAAAGTTTGAGATGTTTGATAGTTTGATAATTTAAAAGATCGAAACCAGGCAAAATATATTATTGCAGAGGGTAGAAGAATTGAATGCAATCAACATAATAAAAGAATTATGTAAATGATTCGCACTACATCAGCTATAAAGATCGATAAAAAGTGTCTGAAGAAAGAGCTTCTGAAGAGTTCAGGACCGTTTAAAAAATGTATACCAATGTATGCAGATTATATTGCGTGTTCGTATAAAGTGCATTATATTCTCATGTTTCATGTATTTTAAATTCGTGAAAACGGAATATACTGTTTGTCACGGAAATAAATGTCAAATATTTAGCGGGGCCAAATGCTAATGTAGAATGCATTTATTTCTTAATGGAATAGTAATGAGCATGGAGTATTCTGTATTTGCTTCAGCAAAATCGAGAGTTCAACAATTGAAGTGAACGCATTAATGTAAATTAAAGAACTTATTTTATAACGAGCGCAATTGGAGAAGAGATATTCAATAAGAATTACTTCACTTCCTACTTTATTGTAAAAAGGTACTACATAACTGTTTATTAATGTATTTTGTATTTGGAAGGTTAGTTCTTTCACAGTGAAATAAAAGTGTAATTCATGAAATGAAAGTTTGAAGCGTAGTCAAAGGGAAGTATTTATTTAATTGACTTTTTACAAACAAAATGAGAGTCTGTGGTTTCACGAGCAGAGCAAGGTTTAGCATGCAAAAATTTATCGTAGCGTAATACGGATCGGAGCTGATGGAGTAAAAGGTGGACTAAATAAATACTTTTCTTTGACTACGCTACAATTGGTGCCTAATGTGGGTCTATTGGAGCGTTTTTCTTAATTTTCTAGCTATACATATTATACATTTTTCTACGTAGGGTGAAGTGGGGTAAGTGCGGACTGGTTTTTGTAAAGTTGGTATTTAAACGTAAGTATTTTCAGTCTGCTATGTAAATACTTAACGCTGTCGATATCGAACGCTTTGCACAATTCCTACTATTTAATTAATATTATATAGGATCTTAATTTTCCTTGTACATTTTGATTTTGATAGGAAATTATTTAAAATGTCAACTACTCTGCACTTTCCCCGGAAATGGGGTAAGAGCGTAATTTGAAGTTAAATACTTTGAAACTTTATTTCATGTGCAATGGGGCAAGAGCAGAATTATTAACAAATCTGCTATAAAATGCTTTTTATTGCATTCTGCATGTACTCTATACTGCAAACAAGTAATCTTAGCTGAAATATAAAAGGGGATATAGTGAAACAAAACACGGAAACAAACATACTAAATAGGGAAATTTTGCTCAAATTGTACGAAAAATAACCTGTATACGCACTTGCCCCGTTTACGAACTTACCCCATTTCACCTTACTATAAATCTATGAAATCTATTTAATCTTTGAAATGTATAAAATCTATGAAGTCTATGAAATCTATGAAATCTATGAAATCTATGAAATCTATGAAATCTATGAAATCTATGAAGTCTCTCAAATCTATCAAATCTATCAAATCTATCAAATCTATCAAATCTATCAAATCTATCAAATCTATCAAATCTATCAAATCTATCAAATCTATCAAATCTATCAAATCTATCAAAGCAATAAATTCAATACAAACTACAAACTACATAAAATGTACAAAACTCATTCAAAGTGGAGATTCATTAAATCAATCCTTCGTTAAATTAAATTAACAAATAAGTATTAAATAAGATAAAACGTGGTTTCTGAACCATAATAAATCGGAATATGGTAAATAAACAACAATAGATAATATAAATAATAAAATGTATTTTAAATATTTCGTAAAAACTGTTACAGAAGATACAAGTAGAAAAAAGCTTTCACTGTAGGCATAATCAAGGCACTTGTATTTACAGAGTTTTATTCATCGTTTCGCACAAGTTTGTCGAATAATTTACGATTCACACGCAATTCCCTCTCTTACATTATCGCATAAACGTTTCTGTACTTTATAAACAATTAAATTTCGAGAGAACGTCGCTTCGTCGTTAACTTACTTTTACAAGTTTTCGATTAAACTAATAAAAATAATCAAGTACATTAGGCTAAGAAAAAAATGTACAACAAATCCGTATTTTTTATCTTAATAATAAATGTACCGAGTACAAAGAAAATTATAATGATACACAATGGGTTACAAAAGAATTTGAGTTCGTATGATAAGAGACTTTGGTAAAACGAATGAACAAATTAAACCTGAGATGAGTCAAACTTTAATTAAAGTTCGTGGAAAAATCCAATAGTCTAATTACAGACTAATACACGATAATAACGTGTATGTCAAATGATAAGTACTATAATCGAAGAAGCGTCCGTACATTAAACTTATTCGAACTTATTTAATTCCGTAGTATTTACATTATTTTATTAACAGATATGCTATTTATTATTAAAACAATAAAACATAATTTACATAGCTTTAGAATAAAATAAATTTATCAAAAGTATAACGGAAGAAAGATCGATTATAAAAATATCATTAATTCTTCCGTACAGCACGTTTTTAATATCATTTCTTTCTTATTCTTCTCAATATTAATAAATAGGTATGAACAATTTTTATTTGTTCTAATAATAAAATCGTTTAGAATAAAATAATATAAATAGTGAAAATAACTTTGTGTGGAAAAGTTATAGAGGGTCTTTCGCGTAAAATAAATCATTTAAATATCTTCTCCGTCTGTAATAACACGGTCAATATTTTTTACACACTTTTGAAGAAAATGTATCAGCCAGAAGATTTTTGTTACAAATATTATTTATATATTTCTTTTTATGTGGCATAGAGTTTTGATTTTCTTTTGTGTAACATAGAAAAAATATTTAGAGGTTATGCGAAACACCCTGTATAATGCTAAATGGGGTACGGAAGCTTTTCTGACAGACTGAATGCTTTTTTATACAAAAAGAATTTTAATACTTAAACAATCAGACAATTTTTGTATGAACTTCAAACATTTTTCTCACTTTTTTGAACATATAATACTTTTCAATTGTTTCAAGTATGAATTCAAGTATGATTTCAACTATTACTTATTATTTTAGGTTGTTGCATATGAAACAATTCATTTATTTACAAAATTGCGTGCACATAACTTCCAAAATAATATATTATAATAAACCTAGCAATGTTTATTTATAAATTATTTTTGTCAGAGAATTGTCAGAGTTTTAGAAATTTTATAATTGTCAGAAAATTGTTAGAATTTTAGAAATCATAGAATTGTTAGAAAATTGTTAGAATTTTAGAAATTTTAGAATTATCAGAGAATTGTCAGCATTAAAAAATTTTTAAATTGTCAGAGAATTGTCAGAGTTTTAAAAATTTTAGTCACCAGAGAATTGTTAGAATTTTAGAAATTTTAATGTGGTCAAAAAATTGTAGTGACTTCCATCTTTTAGTCGATCGAGTAAAATGTTTCTTGCTGGTTATTTAAGTATTTTGTTTCTTGCCGATTATTCAAGTATCAACATAAAAGTACAATATGAAAGTGTAATGATTTCAGTAATTTTGTAATCCACTGTATATACGTATTCGTAACAGCAGAGGCGGTGGTAATAATATGGTTCATTTTATGCAAAACAATTTAGAGTTATATACAATAATATCAACTATGAAAGCTTGCAATATTTACATTTCAAATTAACTGCCCTTTCATCTAGGTTAAATTTTTCTACATAATTAGTGAAAATTTTAAGTGCTGTATGTCAAAAATTTGTGAGCATTTGTATTCAGTTATTTACATTTTACTTTACGATTTTCGGGAAAACGGAATTAAGTTATTCTGTAATAAGAAAGTAAGTTGTGATTGTAGATTGTGCGTTTTATAATTATCAACAACGATTTGAAGTACACTACTTTTCCGAGGTATATTCTTTTCTGAAATAATACATCCAGATGAAATTAAGGTTTTCTAATAATATAAGTCACGAGTGATAGTAATATAGGCTATCTCATATTTCAACATTCTATTAATAAACAACTGAAATTTTAGTCATTATTTTAAATACCAAGAACAAAATTAAATAAAGAATATGAGTATTTGTGATTAAATTCAGGGGTGATTGTAAACATGAACCAATGATACCACGTTTACATAACCTCACTTGCGGACTTATACTGATTTAGAGAATTACATATGTGTAAGTACATATGTGAATTACATATCTGTAAATATGAGAAGTACATATGTGTAAACGCTGTAAAATATTAGTCTATATTACCCAATCTTAACACTGATATTTTCTCTAGAAAAAGTATTCATACCTATAGCCCTAGTAGTATGATACCACTAATTTATGCAGCACATTCGATTTCATGAATACTTAAAAATTATTAAGGACATCTCTCTTCAATTATTCTCAAACAAATTTCAAAACGGGTATTCCATATTACTACCACTTCCTCTATAATTAAAACGCAGTTAATCGAAAGTAAAATTCATAACAACGTGATATAGTTTTGATTTAAGTAATCCGTTCTTGGTTATGTACTCCTAATACTGAACGACTGAGAACCAGAGATTTGTACAATAATTTGTCTAAATTCGCGTACTGACCGACAACTTACTCGTTAATCGATTAAATAATAATACAATTATACGAATAACACTTTGTATCTCGTTGGCACGCGAAATTACTTTTCTCGAAGCGTATTGCTTTTACATTACTTCCTAATCGCATAATGGACGACATTGTACGTATAAATAGCGAAAAATGTTTCTTAAATATTCGTTATAAAAAGTTACAAAGTAGAAAAAATAGGTTTGTCAGTTTAATTTGATTGGTCTTAACGTTACTTAAGGCACTCACTGTATGTACAGATCCTTCCATTTTCCACCTCCGACATCTTGTATTGCCTTTCGATTAATTAACGTTATTAAAAAGAATTTGGACACGTCAGATCACTTCAGCGCATTTATTGCTCATTTAAATAGTATATTCAAGTCACTGCTTCTTGTCTTCTCTATTTCAGATTTGGAATTTTATTATCACGAAATTTTCTTTTTAACAATAATGTAGATCGTGACTGTATCCGATGAGAACAATTACCTTTTCAATTTTAAGATATTTACAAAATTTCTCGTTCGTAGATACCTTAAAATTTGTATTAAACTATAAAACTTTTTATTATTTTTAGTGTTTATTAAGCTATGCATTTTTGGCATTAAAATATTATAAGTGTGAAACGTTTGTTGAAATTGTATCGCAAGAAAGAATTATTTTAAGCTTGAAAATTTTATTTTAATGGATATTATAATAATATTATTTAAATAAATAAAAGACGAACTTATGTTTGTGGCTATGGATACATTTTTGAGAGCTTCAAAACTTTAGTTTTTGCAATACTGCTTCGACTAAATTAATTTATGTTAGAACGCAGTAATTCTAATTTAAAAAGTCTCTATTTTTGCAAATTAAATTATAAATTGTTCAGCTTTTTCCACTTAATCTGAAAATTAAAGAAACATAAGATTTACAATTTAACGTCAAAAAAAAGGAAAGAATACAATTTCTTTTTCATGATACAATTTCATGTATTTCGTAACGAATATCTTGATATGTTTATCGAGGTAAACGGATTAATTTGCATTTTAGCAAAGAGCGTAAGAAACCTAACGTGCGTACTGATATTTTTGTACCTTTGATTAGTAAGAAAAGTTTGTGCAAATTATTTGCATAAAAGTAATTTTGTTAATAGGTTAACCCTTTCGCTGCGATCATAATTGATTCCTGCTGAATAATTTTCTGTGAATACAATTTTTGGAATACCGGTCTTAATATCATTTTGTAACACCATAATATTTTATTTTACAAATATAACTATACATAAAAGTTAATTTGTGCAAAGTGTATTATGTAATTGTATAAAGACGACTTTACTATTTTAAGTAAACCTTAGTTTTTCAGCAAACTTGGGAATAAATATTGAACGATAATAACAAATGCAGAGTTGGGTATTACATAGAAGATTCGGAAGTTTTATTCAAAATTATGTGTTTCTTTAAGAGTAGATAAAGGGATAGTAATTCGCAATTTAAAGAGGTAATTCGCAGCAAAAAGGGTAAACAAGCATATTTGATATAGAAAATTAATTTGTTCCACGGTTTAAATTGCAAAAATTCTTTCAACTAAATATTTTTTTACAACAATTTTCTGGATGCATTAATCAGTAGATACTGAACAAGAAAGACGTCGTAGGCAGTGCTCTCTACATGTAACGAAGTACTTTGTGTTTAAGTACAGGTTTTCGATATCCTGCTGTGTTAACGAACGATATCGTTTCTTGAAATCGACGGAAATTTCATTTGGAAGCAACTCCTCATTCCTGTTTCGTGAGATCACTTCAGCAAGTACTATATCCAAGGTTTTACGTTGACTCTGTAACAGCAGAAATATAAATAAAAAAATTAATAAGTTAAAGTATCACTTTATTTGTATTTTCAGCGTATCTCTTAATTATACGTTTCTTAAATTGCAAATACTGCCGTTATTCTACTAGTCTAGATTATAAAGACTAGTTATTTGCATATTGCAAGGTTATGTCAAAAAATGGAGCATTTACTCTCTTTTTATTATAAGTTAAGTTTACTTATAGAATCTTGTTATTTCATTGTAACAGGACATTTACAAATTTGTATAAAATCGTACAAGTTTTTATGCATGCGAAATAAGCTACTACCGGCAACAAAACATTTTGTTCCTTTGAGATAGGAATTTAAATATTTTTGCCATTCACAGTTCATAAGAAGGGACATTCTTTTCTGAGCAACGTACGCATTTAAAAAAAGTATCTCATAGTGATTATCTTATCTACGTTTTGTACACCACTTGTCCGTTAATTTTTAAGTAATGATTATCGTAACTGTTTATATAGTAATATTTAACAATATAATTTTGAGCTTGCTTGATAACATAACTATTTAATTATACAGGATGTCCTATGTTTCAGCGGTCAAAAATTGTTAGTATATTCTGTAGGTCGAACTAAGAAAGAAATGTTACATAAACATAGCTCTTCTAAAGCTTGATTAAAAAGTTATTACAGTAATAAGAAATAAGAGCAGTAACAAACTCGTGGTTAATTCGATGCGATGCAGAAAGAGATCAGCAATATTGTTTACTCCGTTTATATAAGCTATGTTTATTATTTAAGTCGACTCGTACCAGTCTCATCGATAAATTCATTTTTTCGTACCGAAATACCACAATTATTTACTAATTCGCAAAGTAATAAATTTTATTCTTTACCGACGTCGGCCTTGTTTTACCAAAAATGATGGACATTTTGCGATCAAGTATTAATTGCTTCTTACACAGAGTATCCGTAAATATTACTGATCTGTTTCTGTATCACATCGTAATAACCGTGACTTTACTACTGTTCCCTTCATTTCGTATTATTGCCATAACTTTTTAATGCATCATTAAAAGATCTAGTTTATATAACATCGTTTCTTATTTCGACACATATATTAACATTTGACTGTTAAATCTTGGTAATTCTATATAATTTTGGGTTTATTTGTAACTCGATAATGTATCCTTTTTTTTCACAGCCTGTTATTGTTTATCTTTTCTAATTTTCTTCAGAAACAGAAAGATATGAAAATGAAGAACAAAAGAATGGTAAATTACTACTTGTAAATTATTACAAGTAGTAATTCTTTTTCCAGCCAAGTACTGTTATTTTAACCTAATCCACGAAACTTTCCCTTCGTGATTTATAGTAGAAAATAAGTTTCCGTGTTCAATCCGAATGATTTCGAGATGGTTCCAAGGGAGACGAAAGATGAATTCTGTGTAACCTTAGGACATTGTCCCACCTGGCTATTGTGGACATCCTTATTTACCTGGATCAGCAAGAATTAAATACAGAAACGGAAATTTGCAGACACATTGTCATGACCTCTCGAAGATCGTGGGAAATGTACATGTGACGCAGGAAAATATATGGAAACTTTTATTGTACGGTGAAATGCCAAAAATATATTATTTATTTGAGTATAGAAGTACTACTAATATTCTTGGAAAAATTGTTTAGTTAGTAATTGTGTACGTTGTCTAAATTTTTTTATGAACAATTATTGTAAATTTTGTACTAATAGCAATTATTGTAATTTTTTATATTTTAGGTAACATATGTTTGTATTTATTCTACGATCGTTATACTATAGATTTGATAACGAAATAAAATTACTGGAATGTAATTGTAAATAATCTTAATGTAATATATAATTGTAGTAAATGTTACAATGTGAACATATAATTATAGCAAATGATATAAAGCAATATATAATTATATTAAGTAATATAATATAATATATAAATTAATGTAATTTAACTTAAATAATATAATTTAATATGTCATCAAAGGTTATATATTTAATATATTATTGTATCAAACATATATACTGAATATATTATTATGTTGTAAATTACTATTGTTTGTCAAAAATACGGTCTTAATTACAATTTCGAACATCATAGTGATATACATTAAATAAATTGTAAGTAACAACACTTAGAATTTACTATGTAAGGCAGACTAATATATAAATTCACCCATAATAATTAATACGAAAATTTCTGAAAATTTCCCAATTTGTATTGATAAAAGATCTATATAATAACTTTAATTACATTCCACATTTTCAATGAACATATCACAAGTTCAATTTTCAAAGCTACCTTTTACTCCCCTGTCATCAAGCGTTGTCAGATTTTCTTTCTTTTAAAACGATAAACAATAATCTGATATCACAGCCTGTTATTGTTTACCTTTTCTAATTTTCTTCAGAAACAGAAAGATATGAAAATGAAGAACAAAAGAATGGTAAATTACTACTTGTAAATTATTACAAGTAGTAATTCTTTTTCCAGCCAAGTACTGTTATTTTAACCTAATCCACGAAACTTTCCCTTCGTGATTTATAGTAGAAAATAAGTTTCCGTGTTCAATCCGAATGATTTCGAGATGGTTCCAAGGGAGACGAAAGATGAATTCTGTGTAACCTTAGGACATTGTCCCACCTGGCTATTGTGGACATCCTTATTTACCTGGATCAGCAAGAATTAAATACAGAAACGGAAATTTGCAGACACATTGTCATGACCTCTCGAAGATCGTGGGAAATGTACATGTGACGCAGGAAAATATATGGAAACTTTTATTGTACGGTGAAATGCCAAAAATATATTATTTATTTGAGTATAGAAGTACTACTAATATTCTTGGAAAAATTGTTTAGTTAGTAATTGTGTACGTTGTCTAAATTTTTTTATGAACAATTATTGTAAATTTTGTACTAATAGCAATTATTGTAATTTTTTATATTTTAGGTAACATATGTTTGTATTTATTCTACGATCGTTATACTATAGATTTGATAACGAAATAAAATTACTGGAATGTAATTGTAAATAATCTTAATGTAATATATAATTGTAGTAAATGTTACAATGTGAACATATAATTATAGCAAATGATATAAAGCAATATATAATTATATTAAGTAATATAATATAATATATAAATTAATGTAATTTAACTTAAATAATATAATTTAATATGTCATCAAAGGTTATATATTTAATATATTATTGTATCAAACATATATACTGAATATATTATTATGTTGTAAATTACTATTGTTTGTCAAAAATACGGTCTTAATTACAATTTCGAACATCATAGTGATATACATTAAATAAATTGTAAGTAACAACACTTAGAATTTACTATGTAAGGCAGACTAATATATAAATTCACCCATAATAATTAATACGAAAATTTCTGAAAATTTCCCAATTTGTATTGATAAAAGATCTATATAATAACTTTAATTACATTCCACATTTTCAATGAACATATCACAAGTTCAATTTTCAAAGCTACCTTTTACTCCCCTGTCATCAAGCGTTGTCAGATTTTCTTTCTTTTAAAACGATAAACAATAATCTGATAGAACCATTTAAACCTAACGACAAACGTATTAAAATTTATGTATTCGAAGAAACCAGATAATCGAATACAGGGCAATTAAAAGTTGCAAGAGAATCCCGATCAAGAAACAATAATTGATTCTCTTAATTGCTAATTTCATTCGTTACACCGAAGTCAGAATGTGTTTTGATTATGCATTAAGTAGTAGTCCTTGAGTCCTATCGGTTCTAGATAAAACGAGAAGAAATGAGAAAAGCACTCTTCTGTAAGGACGTTACTTTATCAGCAGAGGGGCGTGACTGGGAAACATTTTGAAGAAGGACGCTTTAGAACGCAGAACAGCTAACATAGAACACTTCTTTGGCGGGAAAACGTCTGGAATTTCATTTCACGTATTTTATCGCGTCAAAAGGGAACCGATCAAACGAACCCGATATTTTTAGAAAACACAGCAGGGCAAGAAACGCTGGAATTAATGATAATCTAGTTAAACATGTTCAAGTCCTAGACCTATTTAAAAGCTTCTACATGTATTTAAATGAAGGCATTAGGAATTAAATTTTTGAAATTTTTTATGTGATTTCGACTTAACTGCGGTATTAAAAATTTCTCACGGGATACATAAATAAAATCAGCCATGACGAGTATACAGGTTGAATGCAATTCAATGTTGTTACTGTGTATGAAAATAAATTAGAGTACATGTGTATGTGTACATATGTGCATATGTATATAGATGTGTATATTAATAGTAGTCCTGCTATGAAATATCGAAACAATATTAGAATACTTAAATGTACTACAATACTTAACTGCAGTACTTAAATGTAGTTACTGTGTGTGAAAATAAATTACATGTGTGTATGTACACATGTGTATAAGTATGTACATGGGTATATTAATAGTAGTCTTACTATGCAATATCGAAACAATACTTAAATGTACTACAATACTTAACTGCAGTACTTAAATGTAGTTACTGTGCGTGAAAATAAATTACATGTGTGTATGTACACATGTGTATAAGTATGTACATGGGTATATTAATAGTAGTCTTACTATGCAATATCGAAACAATACTTAAATGTACTACAATACTTAACTGCAGTACTTAAATGTAGTTACTGTGCGTGAAAATAAATTACATGTGTGTATGTACACATGTGTATAAGTATGTACATGGGTATATTAATAGTAGTCTTACTATGCAATATCGAAACAATACTTAAATGTACTACAATACTTAACTGCAGTACTTAAATGTAGTTACTGTGCGTGAAAATAAATTACATGTGTGTATGTACACATGTGTATAAGTATGTACATGGGTATATTAATAGTAGTCTTACTATGCAATATCGAAACAATACTTAAATGTACTACAATACTTAACTGCAGTACTTAAATGTAGTTACTGTGCGTGAAAATAAATTAC